GTCCTTTCTGGGGCTGCATCTGGGGGCTTCTCCAAGGACCACTCTTGCCACGAATACCTTCTTGTTCTGGTCTCCACCTTCACGTGAACATGGAACTTTTGACAACTGCTCTCCGATTTCTGGAGGTGTCTGGTGAGATTCTCTGGCTGTACAAGTGCGGTACCAATTAGAGGCTGTGACTTAATCCTCTTCTGGTGAAACTGTCATCCCCTGCTTGCTATTTGCTTGAATTAGCGAGTTAAAACCTGAAATCCCCAAAATGATCCTTTTTTGCCTGATAAATTAATCATTACCTTTATTCTCAAGGTAGTTTCTCTCTCTCTTTCTTTTTTCCCAAGAGATGAGAAAAGAGATGTTGTGCTGGTTGTATTGCCAAACCACAGTGATGGGCCCTGGTCCAGAAGAGATTTACATGTTACACAATTGTAGGCTTCTGATTTTTTTTTTTTTTTTTTTTTTACCCTATTCTGAAGTGGGTGGCTAGGGTGTAGTTTGGAATTGTCAAATCAGGTACAGATACATACAGTATAGTCATTCTTTGCTAAAGGAGGTAAATTAAACTATGAAGAAAATATAGATTCATTTTCTGACAAGATTAATTACTCGTGTTTTCTTCATTATCATTTTAGTGATTTCATGACACCACCTTGAGGTTTGTAAGAACCACTGTGACTATTCTAGAGATGGAGAAATAAACATGCAGAGACACTATCGCAAGCTTTGCACTGCAAATCCGTAGAGCAGAAGAGGTTGTCTTCTTGGTTACTAAAGCTAGACTTCATCTACTAAGGGTAGTTTGGGATCCAAGAATCAGAAAGAGAGTAGAAGCAACTTTTTGAGTTTCTTTTGAAGAAGGATTTCAATTTAAGAAACCAACTTATTCCCATTCGTTTCCCATGAAATATTTAGGCAAAATACAAAATAGAAAATAAATAATAGCAGCTTGAAATTCTAAACTGCTGATGACTGAGCCAGAAAGAGATCATTCTGAATATATGTCATGCCAATCAAACAAGAAAGGGGGTATACATACCTAACCAAGTTTCCTAGGCTATACCATTTAGATGTGATGAATTAACTTTCTTACAGGTAACAAACTTTGTTTAGGACTAGCTTCTCATCCTGCCAAATATTCAAGCCTTGTTTTTCAAAACTGGTTTGTCTGAAGAAATAGAATCCGGCAGTAGTTTCTGAATACCAAGGCAGTCCCATGAAATTAGTACCCACACTGCGTACTTACTCCCAACCCTCCCACAGAGAAGCCAGCTCTGTTTCAGGCCCTCCCCTACCATTACAGGAGGCTGTCAGTCATTTTCAGCTGAGGAGGCAGTCAGGAAGGGAGGGAGAAGAGGATGTGGCAAAAACAGCTGGTGAGAATCCAAGGGCAAGAGGAGACATTTAATCTGTAGGTAACATCTAGAATTTAGACCTAAAGAAGTTATAACTTGCCTGAGGCCACACCATTGCAGAACAAGGAACAAAATAAAACAAAAACCTATCATTAAACATAACTCACACTCCCAAGCCAGTCACCAAACAAAATATTCAAAAGCCTCTAAGAAGATAAGCAGTAAACAACATTCCTCCCTTTATCCACCTGGGAGGGGGGGTCTTCTTAGAAATGACCTCACTCCAACATTGTAATCGGAAGTGTGGGGTTGCTTAATTTCTTCCATTCATTCATGTAGAAACACCTTACGCACTGTATGGACATGTGTCAGGCATAGCATTAAGCAGTAGGAATTCAAAAGTGAGAAAAGCACTTCTCTACTGTTGAGGAATAGTCTTTGTGGAATAGACTAAGTGACAAAGACCTGCGAATGAATGCACCATACAGTAAAATAGAGGTATAAGCCAGAAACAGAATGAGAATATCAGCTAGCACCATGCTCTGGGTTTAATTCTTGGTTAGTTATAATGAATATCATTGTCTAGAAGAGTTCTCTATGACCACACTATTCCCAAGTCCCAGTGGATGGACCAGAGAAACAGGACCTTATTACTGTGACTACAACTAATAACACACAGGGTGTTCTCTAGTCTCTTTATTCACTCATCTAGCAAATATTTATAGCATACTCATTATGTGTCAAGCACTGAGCTTAGTAAAAACACACAAAGGCCTCTCACAGAGCCTAGAGTCTAGAGAAGGAGACACACATAAGAGAAGCAATCACCCATGCACTAATATAAAATCACAGCTGAGATGTATACTGTAAGGATGAGGGCCATGTTTCTATGTGCAAATATAACAAAGGGATTAACCTTCTCAGAGACATTTCTGATAGCTTCTCCAAGGAAATCATGTCAGTTGAGACCAGAAAGGAACATAGGAGTTAACTACATGAAGTGGGGAAGGAAGTGCAAGTACAAATGCCTTGGGTGGGGGTGGAGATGCAGGTCAGCTTGGTGCATATCAAACAATTAAAACAAAACAAAAAAACACGGTGGAGGGACCCCAGTGAGAGTGAAGGAGCATGGTGTGCAAAATGAGTCTCTGCTATAGATAAGGGTCAGAGTATACTGAGCCTTGCAAGTAGTGCTTAGGACTAAAAGCATAAGTCATCGGCAGGACTTAAAATTGGAAGGACTTGGTGGATTAAATGTGGAAGATGAGGCAAAAGGACTCTTCCAGGTTGGCTCCTGAGTGCCTAACTTTCTGAGGAAGGTGATGCTCAACCCTAGAAGAGGAAACCCTGGATGAGGACCAGGAATGCATTAATTCCGCTTATGCAAAAATGAGTCTCAAGAGCTCCCTGCTGCCTCTAAGAGATGTAAAGAAGAAAGGATATGGGTTCACATATGGAAGAAATGTCTGTGGGCTCATAGAGGTGATCAATGAATCCAAAGAATGGATTCCTTGGGGAAAAAGTCTGAAAAAAGCAGAGGCTGAGCTTGAGATACTGAATGCTTCATGCTCAGAAAGGGAAGGATATCTTCTTTCTTTCTTTCATTCTACCTTCAGTTGACAGTCATCTTATTCACCACTGGCACCATAAATTACTCATCATTAAACATAATTCACACTCCCAAGCCTGTCACCAAACAAAATTTTCAAAAACATCTAAGAAGATATGCAGTAAACAACATCCCTCCCTTTATCCACCTGCGAGAGAGGTCTTTGTAGAAATGCCCTCTCTCCACCATTGTAATTGGAAGTGTGAGGATGCTTAATTTCTTCCATTCATTCATGTAGAAAAACCTTACACACTGCATGGGGCATGTGTCAGGCATAGCATTAAGCAGTAGGAATTTAGAAGTGAGAAAAGCACTTCTCTACTGTTGAGGAATAGTCTTTGTGGAATAGACTAAGTGACAAAGACCTGCGAATGAATGCACCATACAGTAAAATAGAAGTATAAGCCAGAAATAGAATAAAATATCAGCTAGCACAGTGTCCGAGAGGTCACTTATCCTGCTGTCAACAGTTCTAAAATTGGCATGCACCCTAGGATGCAGTGCCATGCTGAGTCTCCAGGGCCAGTCCATGTAGCTCCTACTGTTCTCCCTGTCTCTGTCCTTCCCTGCATTCTCTTCTCCCCACCGTTCTCTTCTCTGTATCTCTGGTTTTGCCATGAGTAAGCATTTCTGCCTATGCTCATGGGATCCTAGGATAGAAGTCTAGTGTTCAGAATGGTACCCACCTCACACTCAGACCAAACTTCCCTGTCCCCGTCCTACTTTGGTCAACTATACTTCCAATTAACTACAGAAACAGTGGCTGTTGTTGGGGTTGTATCACCACCTAAGACTGTTCCTCTTTGAAAATCTTTAACACCAAGACACATCTCACTGACTACAAGTTTCAGTCCTCACCTTTCACCCACTGTCCAACTTTCCCAAATCTACTTTACATTCTCCTCATAAATTCCAGTCCCTCAATAACTCCTTCTCCACCTGGTTCTTATCTCATGATTGCCTAAGCTAATGATACACTTACCAGCATCTCAGGTTCCACTGATTCGTTGACTTTCTCTACACCCATGTGGCCAAAGCCCAACTCTGGGTGTACTCAGCCCTGTATTTTCTCAGATGTGTTCTTCTTAGGCTGTTGAATGATACTAGAGAAAATCATAGAAATGTATTAATTGATTTGATTGTAAATAATTGTGCTACAGTACGGAAGTGGCCCCCCATATCCTTAACCTTTGATTTCAAATGCTCCAGATTTATTATACATTAGAAACGCCTTCCCTCAGAGACTCTGATTCCATAGATCTGGGATGTAGTCTGAGAACCTCGTGAGCATACCTGGTAAGTTGGATATCATGCCCTAGTTCTCTCTATGTAGCTGCAGCCATATACCTCTTCTATGCCCCTCCAGCTCTGAATCTCAACTCTCCTACTCAGCTGATTATTTTTTCTCCCAATCCATTGGGAAAACAAATAGGGTTCATTGGCTGTAACTCCTTTGTGCCCCTCCTCCTCACAAAGTTGCCCTAGTTTTATCGTATTGTCCTCTATTCCTTTCCTTCTTTCTAAAGCTGGCCCCCATGTTGCTGTTCTGTTCCAGCCCCTCTGGGACCTTGGCCAAGCAACGTTCTCAACCTCTCAGTCCCTTTCCCAAACTGGCTTTCTTCCCAGGGAAGAAAACAAGCTCCAGTCTTTCTTATGCTGAAAAACATCCCTTCAAAGTTGCTTCACTTCAAATTATCATTTCATCCATTTCCTCCACTTTCTTGTTTTTTCCCATTTGGGAGAAAAAAATAACTTTTTCCCCCAAGTATAACATCATACTAAATTAAAATACATCATTCAGAAGTATTTAGATGAAATGTTTCATAGTCACTACTCTCAGTGATAACTATGGTTAATAAAATTGAAATACATTCCTATAGTTTTTTTCAGTAGATTTCTTTAAATATTTCTCCTTTTTTTCAAATGAAATTATATTATATTTAATAAGTTTTTCCTGCTTAAAATGTTCTGTACATCTTTCTATGCCAGTGTACAATTCATCTTTTAACGACTATGGAATATTTTCTTGCGTATATGTGCCATCATTTAAACTTCTTTATAATTTCAAATAGGCTTCTAGCTTATATTATAGTGAACATTATTAGTTGCCTACTTGGTATCTACTAAGCCTTCTTTCTATCCAGAGTTTTCATTTGCATATCCACCTTCTTTTCTATGCAACTATAGGCTTTAGGTGAAAGACTGACCATTTTCAGGTCTAAGGGTAGACATTGATTAGTCTAGGTTGATCAGAATAAGTTTTCTTTCCCTTGAAATCATACCTGTTCCAGGATAATACAGTTTAATTTGGGTAATGAAATTTGGGAGGAAACTTGATGGGACTTTACAAAGAAGTTTTTCATTTCTGTGAAAGCTCCAAGAACTCAGTTCTGTCATCCACTAAACACCATCAAGAAAGCTTACAGTCCCAACTAGAGCCATCATGTAATCTTGAATGGAGAGGAGTAGGGGAATGACTAGCCTTCTTATAAAACTGATTCAGAGACTAGCAGGGCAGGAAGATAGGACATACCTGAGTAATTGATGACATTGCTCATTTCTTGGTCTATCAACCCTGAGACTCACTCCACCTATGGGTTTGTAGTTAGGAGACAAATAATATTTCATATTTTTAAAGTCTGTTTGAATGTGATTTCTGTTAATTTCACCATTAAAAATCCTAACTGGTTTGGTTATCTTAGCTTTTTGAAATAGGATAAAATATGAGCTATAAATAATCATCATTTCATTTCTTCCTCTTGCCAGAGAGTAGTGCTTGTGCTCACCAAAGAGATCGAGAGAGACAGAGAGAGACAGAGAAAGATGAATAAAATTCCCCCAATGGGGTACAATCATACTGCCATTCCATCTTCTCCATTTCTCCATTTTATTAGGAATTCTGGCGTGCTCACTCACACCACTGGCATGTTTTTCTTTTCCTTTTTTTTAGAGAGATTCTTGCTTTAGGGCACTTGTGTTCACTGGAGACAGAGAGAGAAAATGTGAGAAACCACCCCCCTCAGATAGATGGCCATGCCACACTCTCTTTTCTTCCATTCTCTTCTAAGGAATTTGGGCATGCATGCACATGCACTCAGCATGAGTTTCAAGCCACTGGGTTAGGACTCAAACTGTGGTCAGCCATGTGGGAGTCCAGTACCTTAACCACTATAGCACCTACTGAGCCCCCTCCCCCACTGGCATGTTTTTCAAGCCATCGAGTCCAGGATTTTAACTGCCATGTAGAATA